ACTCACCCATGGTCTTATTTGATCCATATAGGACCCCTGTAAAGTACACAGGGCCTGGGGGATATGTTCCAAGACCCGCCGTGGATCTCTGAAACCAGGGATAGTACCAAATCCTATACATGCCGTGTTTTTTTTCCTATACATAAATACCTATGATAAAGCTTAATTTATAAATTAGGCACAGTAAAAGGTTAACAATAATAACATAGAACAACTACAACAATATACTGTAATAAAAGTTACGTGAATCTGGTCTCCCTCTTTCAAAAATTTCTTCTTGTACTGTACTCGCCCTTCTTGTGATGATGAGATGATGAAACACCTACGTGATGAGATGGAGTGAGATGAATGGCACAGTGTGAGGCTACTACATTGATCTTCTGAAGATTTTTCAGGAGAATCATCTGTTTTGGGTGATCCTGGGTTGTCCACCCACAGTGACGTCTATGGTTGGATGTCAGAAACAGATGATGTTGATGGTTGGGGTTCCCAGGTGGGATGAAGCAAAGGGGTGTGAGATTTCATCATGCTAATCAGAAAGGCATGTAATTTAAAACTTATGAATTGTTTATCTCTGGAATTTTCCATTGACTGTTTTCAGACCCAGGTTGACCAGGCGTAACTGAAACCTTGGGAAATGAATCGAGGGATAAGGGTGGACTACTGTATCTCCAGTCTTGGCCACAAATGACTTGGCCCAAAGCCAAACAATTAGCAAGTGGCAGAACCAGGATTTGCTTTCCATGTTTTTCTATTCTAATTCCAGAAACTTCTATAAGGATTCACAAATTAGAGATAAGCAAAGAGAAACCTATAAGAGACAGAATCACAACCAATTAATATAATTTATAGAATTTAAACTATTCCTTAAGACTGAAGCATATTTATTGTGTTGTATCACAAATTTACATTTTATTGTTATCCTCTGGGTCCGGGGCTGGTAAAAAGATTTTTGTACTTAACTCATCAGTAAATGTTTGTTGACCAGTGGGTTAGAATGTTGAATTGGACATTTTTTTCCCTTTCTTTTTATTAAAATTAACTTGTAGAGTTGATTGCATGTCCAGTTATTCCGGCAGGTTACACTGAATTTTGTTGTCTACTCTTCCATTTTTCCTGCATAAAGAAAGGAAACTTGAAGACTTGGTAAGGCAATTCTCAGTTTGCTACAGCATTCCAGTCTCTCATTTATAAAATATGTAGCACTCATTGAGCATCTACTGTATGTTCGGTGTTCTACATACATTACTGGTAATCGTCACATCTCTGTGGCTTGGTGGGTATAGTTACCTTCATTTTCATAGATGCAGATCATTCAGGCATACTTCAGAGATATTGCAGGTTTGGTAGCAGACTACCACAATAAAGTGAATATTGCAGTAAAGTGAGAAGCATGAATTTTTTTGGTTTCCCAAAGCATATAAAAATTATATTTACACTATACTGTGGTCAGTGAAGTTTGAAATAGCATTATGGCTTTAAAAAACAGTGTATATATTCTAATTTAAAAAATACTTTATTCCTGAAAAAAAAGATAACTGTCATCTATGCCTTCAGTGAGTCATAATCTTTTTGTTGGTGGTGGAAGGTCTTGCCTGGATGTTGATGGCTGCTGACTGATCAGGGTGGTGGTTGCTAAAGGATGGGGTAGCTGTGGCAATTCCTTAAAATTAGATGACAATGGAGTTTGCCACATCAACTGACCCTTCCTTTCACTTGAACACTTAGAGGCCATTGTAGGGTTATTAACTGGCCTAATTTCAATATCATTATGTCTCAGGAAATAAGGAGGCCTGAGGAAAGGGTGAGAGATGGTGGAATGGATGGTCAGTAGAACAGTCAGAACACACACATTTATTAAGTGTGCCATCCTGGTGCTCCAAAACAATTACCACAGTAACATCAAAGACAGCCTATTACAGACCACCATGACAAATACAGTGACAATGAAAAAAATTTGAAATACTGTGACACACAGACCCGAAGTGAGCAAATGCTATTGGAAAAATGGCGCAGGTACACTTGCTCAACTCAGGGTTGCCAGAAACCTTCAATTTGAAAAAAAATGCCACATCTGCAAAGTGCATTAAAGCAAGGTATGCCTGTATAGCACAGCAGTGAAACAAGATAAAATAGAAGGCTTGGATCAAGAGCGGGGCTGTCACTCAGAACTAGCAGGGCTTGAGTCTGGCTCTGCACTTACTTGGACCAGTAATTTCATTTCTCTGCCCTCATCTCTCAAATGGGATAAAATGAATTGAACTCAGAGTTATTGTGAGTGTTAAGTAAATTAACATTTGTGAACGGCTTATAGTCTGGGCTTCAACTGATGCTCAATGAATGTTAGCCATATTTCTGATTTTGTGTGCCTGGGGGCTGAATCTGAGGGCTTCTTTTCTTCTTTATATATATAGATCTGTTATTCTCTAGATGACTTCATTTAATCCTATGATTTTAAATATAAAACTATACTGATGACTCCAAAATTTATATTTCCTGCCAAAATGATACTGTTCAAGTGTAAGTCAGCTCATGTCACTTCTCCGCTCAGAACCCCCCAGTGACTTCCTGTCTCTCTCAGAGAAAAAGCCAAAGCCCTAACCGGAGCCTAGGAGGCCCTGTCTGATCTGTCTTACTTTCCCAGTCTGTCTCTCATCGCTTTTCCACTTGCTTTTTCCCTCCAGCCGTACACGTGTGTTTGTTGAAGATGCCCAAACACTCTTGCTCCCAGGCTCTTTGTACCTGCTCTTCTGCCAAGTATATTCCTCCCCAGATATTCAAATGACAGACTCCTCTGCTTCCTTCAGGTTCCTGCTCAGGCCCCGACTTATCAGAGAGGCCCTCTCTGACCACCTTGAACAAAGGAGGGTTTCCCTTACCTTTTCTTCTTACCCGGCTTAATTTTTCCTTATATCTATTACCATTATGTTCATTTTTTTATGGTCTACTTCCCCCTCTAGAATATGAGCTGTATTAAAGCAGGGACTTTGTTTTGTCCACAGCCCCTAAATCAAATGCCTGGCACGTGGCAGATAATAAATATTGCTCAGCTAGTAAGTGTCAGAGTTTCATGCCCAAACCAGGCTTCTTTCAACCTCTCCTGCTCCTCTTCCCCACTAATCTGCATCCTAGGTCAGGGAAGATTCAAATCCCACTACACATATGTATCAATTCTTTGGACTTGTCTTTAAACTAGAAATTTTATGCATATCAGGATTGATTTGCTGCTCTGCATAATTTATAACAAATATTTAGTGTACACCCACTACACTCTCTTAAATTAGAAACAATGACCAACCCACTAAAATAGGGTAGAAATTTATCCAAGAGTCATGAAGCCCAGGAATGGTAAATATTCATACTTGTGGATCTCTAAGTTCAGAAGCCTAATACAATGGTATATGTCAGTTATATCTAAACTTTTATAAAGGCCATTAAAAAGACTCAAATTATTAGGTCTATCTGTTGTATCAGAAGAGAACATTTGGTTGTCCATGAAACTTTCTTTCCCCCTTTCTCACTCAGTCCACTCATTTTCTTAAGCCAAATTTCTAGACATGGTCCTGGATTTCTCTTTCCCTCACCATTCACATTCAATCCATCTGCAAAGACTGTAGATTTTATCTACGATACTTATCCTGAGACCATTTGCTTCTCATCAACTTCACCTCTCCAATTCCTCGTCCAAGGACAACTCCACCTGCCTAGACTACCAACAACCAGAGTGATCTTATTAAAATGTAGATTGCTTACCACTTCCCTGTCTAAAAGCTTCAGTGGTTTCCTTTTTGTTGCTCCTCTCTAAGTTAGCCCTCTTAGAAACATCCAAACCCACCCCTAGCCTACAAGCCCTGCTTGATTTGGTCCTGCTCACAGTCCAGTCTTCTCTTTTAGCGCTTTTTCCCCATTATTGATGCACTCTGATCACACTGGCCTTCTTTCATTTCTAAGAGCACAGTAAGCCCTTCTCTGTCCCTAAATATTTGAATTAGCAATTCCTTGCCATGTAGGTCTGAGTTTAAATTTTACCACCCCAGAGAGGCCTTCCCTGACTGCTTCATTTCAAGGGGTCCCCTCTCCTGCATTCACCTTTTGTTCTATCAGAGAGTGAACTGTATTCACTTCTTATGCATTGCCCAATTGCCGTCTAGTATTTTCCTCCCGTTTGTTTATTGTCTGTCTCCTTCCAGTAGAATGTAAACTTGATGAAGACAGAGACTTTGCTTTATCAGCAGGGGTTATAACAGAGCCTAACACATAGTGAGCACTCAAAGACACTTGTTGAATGGTAAATCTTTCCCTCAACTTTGATGCTTGTGTGAGATCGCAGTAGTTTCCTAACACAGCTTTAGCAACTCTGCCACATCCCTGTTCTCAATCTGATAGCATTGCTTCAACACACAGAAAGGACCAATATACTGGAGGAAGGATTCGGGTTCCCCTATTTATTGTCAACCACTAGGTCAAGCTCTGGACTCAGTTCAGTAGTTCAAAACCGCGAGATAAGGGGGCAAAGGCAGGCAGAAATGAATACTCCTGAAAGAAACAATTGTGAGGGCGAAAGAAAGAAAACAGTTCTTAAAATCGAACACTTTTGGGTTTGGAAATATTAGAGAAAGTAGATGTGGACAGAAAAATATTAGAGGGAGGGAGGAAAACTAAATCAGAAGGAGGTAAGAGAAAGAGCTCACACATGCTGTAAGAATTCAGGGCTCTGGGCTTGGGTACCACATCTTAACTCACAGGAAAACACCAAGCAAAAGAGAGTAATGGGGTGGGGTGAGGTGGAGGTGAAAGAAAGGGAGGGGCGAGAGACTAGAGCGAGAGACGCGAAGGAAGCTAGAAAGGACCGGGCAGAGCAGTACAAAAGCCGCCTCGGATCTCGCCGGAGCTGCAAGCGTTAATGCGAGGCGGAGTGTGACGCGGTTTGCGTCTGGAGCGGCTCCTTGGAGTCCACAGCATCCACCGCCGGAGCCTCGCCTTCCTTTCTCCCTCTGCAGACATATCGAGACACAAAAAGAGTGCCGACCCTTGGACCAGCGCGAGGGACCCACCCGCACCATGACCGAGACCACCAAGACCCACGTTATCCTGCTCGCCTGCGGCAGCTTCAATCCCATCACCAAAGGGCACATTCAGATGTTCGGTGAGTCCTCCCGCCCACCCTCGGAGACTGCTTCCGCCTCCCTCTTTCCCCGGCACCTGTGTTTTCCAGGGCGTCTGACAGTAAGGCGGGTACCCCTCCGGAGGGGCGCGCCGGCTGATCCCACTGGTGGGAGGGAGGTCAGCCCCTCCGTTCCGGGCTCCCGGGAAGAGAAGCAGACCGGGCTTCCGAGGCGTCACTCGCTCAGGCCAGACCCGGCTCACAAGGGGCCACGGGGTGGGGGAGGGGAGGGGCCGGAGGAGAGTGTTGGTTTGTGTTGGATGGGAGGTCGAGGTTCGAGAACTGGGGTGCGGTGGTGCAGAGGTTTGGCTGCTTGGCTGGTGAGGATCCGGATGGGGCTAAAGGGAGCGAAGGGAGGAAAGGGTTGGAGATAACGTGCTGTTTGTTTAGGTTGGGCTGAAAGCCCGAAGGAGTTAATGAGGAATATGCTTCGGAGACACAAACATTCGCACACAACACGCCAGGAACAGGGCTGGGCTTCAAAGAAATTCGTTTAGGGTTTGGCTGGTGGTTCGAGGCGGCCCAGGGGCAAATGTTTGAGGATTGTGGACCGTTTGCTGCCCGCGCGAGGTGGACGGCCGGGTGAATGTGGGGGTGGGGGCCGGAGGGTGGGGGCCTGGGCTAGGCTGCCCTGACCGCTGCCTCGGAAGGGGAGGGGGCGGGGCGGTCGCTGCGGGCGGCCCTTTGCGAGCTAGTGTTGAAGGATCGGGGCCCAAGTTGGTGGAGGCTTACCCAGGGCGGAGATGGCACCCGCAAGGCTTGCGGCGTGCGAGTGTGTGTGTGTGTGTGTGTGTGTGCGCGTGTGTGTGTTGGGGCGGTGGGGGAAGGGAATCATCGCGCGTTTTTTTCAAGGAGACTTTGGGGCGAAGAGACAGAGGGAGCGAGCTGGGGCTCCTGGCTGCTGGTGCGGGATTCAGCGGGGGCCAGGGAAAGGGGATCGTTGCCTGTCCCTGTCGGCGATGGGCCACCAGTGGGTAAACGACGCGGCTTCGCTGCTGCTCTAGTTGGACCCAAAGACGCGGAAGCGTGCGCATTTAGACCCCGAGGAAGGGACGCGGAGGTCGCTTTAGAAGCAGGAATGGAGGAAGTTGGGGTGCTTTTTTCCTGGCACTGAGGGAAACGTGAAGAGGGGAGCGTGTGGACTGAGGATGGATGAGCGAAGGGTGAGAGGCCTTGGCCCGGCGGGCCCGCGAGGCGCTATCCAGAGACAGCGGTGCTGAAACGCAGGGCGCGCTGGAGCGGGCTGCCGGCGGCACATGTGTTTACCGGAGCCTCAGAATTGCGTGGACCCTCGTAGGGTTGTTTAATGAAAGACACATCACGTTGGTAAAGACTGGGCGAGGGACTTAGACTAAAAAATATTCCTCTCTTAAACCTAAAAGGTGCGTTGAGCTGGGCCTCTTTGTTGAAAACCTCATGAAAAGAATATGGAACTACTTTGAGCGGAGCCCAGATCAGATAAGCACGTTTACAGGATCCACGGAGGGAGACTGAGGTAGCCATCCCTCACCAACCCTTCGCTTTTTAAAGTGTTGTATTAGGAGCTGGTGGCAACTTACCTATTAAAGAAAGACTTTTTGTTCAAGCATCAGGGTACCCCAGAGCATCCCAACAGTCTTCTAAGGGATGTTTGTACCCTGGGAACACTCTACTTTCACTTTCTTTTGATTCTGGCGTCTTCACCCCGTCCTCCTTTTCTTCTCTGTCCGTATTTCCTCTAGTCATTTTATGTTGGTGTGCTTTATTCCTCTCAGTTGCCCAGACAGGGATGGGCTTTCCTCTGGAACTCCCTTGGCTCTAGGAATCTTTAGAGAGCCAGCAGATACTCCCCTTTTCTTCCTGGGCCTAAGGATGTACTTAATTCCGCTTGTTTTGGATTGCAAGAGGGGTAGATTTAGATTGAAAACCAAGGATTTTGTTTTGCAGTTAAAGAGAGTTTGGTAACAATGGTAAAAGCTTTTGTTAAGTTGATGCCAACCCAGCAATTCTCTATGAATTCAGAGGAGAGAATATATGGGAATAGGTATGGATTACAGCAGGAAGGTTTAGACATAGAATAGGTGAAAGGAGACTTCTTGACAGTAGTGACTGCTTGCTTGATATTGGAACTGAGGAAGAGGAGATAATATCTATCAGCAATGCCTTCTGAGCATCCATTAGTTACGTGTAATCCAGAGAGCAACGTGGGAAGAGGATATGCTGTGCTCTCTGTAGCTTTAAGGAGCTTATAACCTAATGAAGGATTTAGCACATATATATTGAAACGGAAACAAGAGCAAGAACACAAAATACATATTAAACTATTTTTTTGTAGAATCTCTTATGGGAATCTTAGAGCTAGTGATAAATTTTGTAATTTATTTTTATAGGGCAGCTTCTGATTTACAAAGCATTTTCATTGTGTTATGTCACTTATTCCTAATAAGAAGCTTATAGGAAAGGCATTATTATCTCCACTTTACAAATGAGAAACTGATGTTCAGAGGCTAAGTGGATTTCTTAAGTGGCTTAAGTGACATGGAGAATGGGGGAGCAGATTTGAGACTTGAACCCCACATTTCTGATACCTTTTGAATAAGCCTGTACACTGTACCAAAGGCAGGAAGACATGCTCACTAATCTTCTGACTGCGTAATTCCACGAACTCTATTTCCTTCAAACATATACTGACAGAAATTAGAATTAAATTGGCGATGAACTAAATGAGATTCATAAATATACATTTCCTTAAGAGCTCTTTCCCATCAGTTATTCACAAACTATTTTCTCCTTTTAAATGGCTTTTAAATTTTTCTCTCCAACAATACAGAAATAATTAATGCTATAAAAATCATCAGACTTTCTTTAAGATGCCTGAAATTTGTAATAGAAAAAAATTTGAAGGCCCAAACAGAACTTTGAAATTACATGCCTTTAAGAGAGCTCCTGTATTTTGAAATCCAATTGCTTAAGAAAGGAAAAAGAGATTGTAAACAAAAAGAGAAGTGGCATTCAGAACTAAAAACTCACTCTTCACCTCTGTAAATTAGTACTCATATGGTTCTCAACATTTGTAAAACACTTTAGAATGAGCTTGTCCCTTTATTCTGAAAGGGAGTTGATATTCCTATTTGTCGCATAGAAACATATAAGAAAAAAATTAATATTTATGATAGAGATATTTTGATACTTATATACTTAAATTTAACTAAAATGTTTTCAAGGATGAATAAAAGTTTTTGGCAAAGTAAACCCGTAAACTAATGATGTTTTATTTTATGTCTGCCTTATAACCTACAAGGTAGCATGATGTTTTTTTTTTTTGACATGTAAGTTCTTACTTAAGTATGTAGAGATTATGTTTCAGTATAACTTTCCTTGCATTTGTATTGTCATATTTGTCAATAAATATGCCACTGGGAGATCAGATAGCAGATTTAAACAGAAAAGTAAGAAAGGACTGATAAATTAACTTTTCCATAAAAAGTAAAGGAATTGAGGGACTTGACCATAGAATGTGATCAAAGAAATGTGTCCTGTTTTAGGATGATTGCAAAATAACTGGGGTTTCCAGTTTTTCTACTTCAAAATAGTTTTGCTTTGAACAGTTTTGTTTTTTTTAAAGAAACATAATCCAATTCTGTTCCCCTTAAAGGGTAATGAAGAGGGCTTTCTACTTGTTGTGGAATTGGAAAAGCAGCCCCTATTGCTGCAACTAAGAAATCATAAGAAAAATGAATTTGAGTTGCTACTAATATAGAGAACTGTCTGAAATCGAGAAACTGTTTAATATGCTTGAAATGCCTATTTTAAAAAGATCAGTAAGCAGTGTGGTACTTATGTTTTTGCACCCCTGTCTCATTTGATCCTGCCCTGTAAGTTAAACTGGATAATATTACCATTACCCCTTTACAAGTGACAAAGCAGAGGTACATGAGTAAGTCATTTGGCCTTTTGCAAATGACAAAGCAGAGGTACATGAGTAAGTCATGAGCAAAATTTAGGATAAACCAGTTCCCTGATATCTAGACACTGTCTCTCAACCAATATGCTTCTTTATTCCTTTAATAGCAACAGGATTTATAAAAGGAGGAGCCACCTGAACTTAGTTATCAACAAAGGGTAATGAGAACTTTATAAATTTTTTTCCTTTGCAACACAGGCCACCAAAAAAATATATTCAGTAAAGATATCTGGTCCCAGTATCTTATGCTTATAATGAGGAAAGACTCTTTCTTCCCTCAGTGGTCATATAGTTCCCATTTAACTGTGTCACGGGAACATTTCTCCCACCTTTCATTCCCCCATCTCCACCTTCCCCACTCTTCTGTTATCATAACTAACTCCTCCTCATCCTTCAGATTTTAGCTTCAACAGTACTTCCTCAAGGAACCTCCACTGACTCCTAAATTAAATATGGTTACCTTGACATTTGATCCCCCATCACCTTATACTTTCCATGACATAATTCTAATCTCATTATATGTTTCATGATTGTTTTCCATGCTAGACTTTAAGCTCTATTAGGACAGAAACCGTGCCTGGTCTAATCATTGGTTTATTTCCTAGTATCTAGAATTGAGTAGGTGCTCTATAATAGTATAATATAATCATAGTTGTAAATAGCAAGTCTTTGCGTCATAATAGCTGTTGAATAAATAAAAAATAAATGAATGTATAGAATCTTGTTCCAAGTAGAAGAATCAACCATGTCTAAGGGCTGGGGTGATGACACAGAGAGCCATGACATAATTAGAACAAAAAAAGAAAGTTCAGGATGACTTGAGGAGGGAAGTGACAGATAAGACTGGAAAGGTAGATGGAAGTCTGATCAATTATGAAGGCTTGTAAGTCACATTAAACAATTTAGATTTTATCCCAGTGACAATGAAAAAAAAACCATTGCATTTTTTAAAGTAAAGAGATGTCATAATCATATTTTTAAAAGTATGATGTAATTGAATTTTGAATATAAATTGGTGAAGGACAAGGATGGAGATGTA